GCAAGTCTCTGCTGCCCCTCCTCTTTGACCCTGTGGGTTGGGGGGCTCCCCTGAGCTGCTTATTTCAACCACCGGAGGTGCTGGAGAGCAGATTATGGCGGCCTAGTGCAGAACCCAGACCCCTTCTCTGCCCCTCGAGTCCCATTTTACAGGGAGCAGTCTCTCTGCAGGCCCCGAGGCTGCCCCTGGGAGGTGGGGACCGGAGCCTGGCATGGCCCCTTAGCTCCCCTGGTGCGGACACGCCGTCCTGGGCTCATGGCCTTGTAGAGGCTTCCAGAGTGAGCTGAGCACGTCATCTTGAGGGACAGAGAGGGGACTTCCCTGGCTCACTCGCCAGAGGAGCGTGAGGCTGGCTCGTGACACCTCTGGGTGAGGCGTGGCATGGCGCAGACCACAGCTCCTCACAGCGCTCAGCCACAGGAAAGGGGCGTGTGGACCCACTGCCTTGGGCGGCCGCTGCTGGCCAAGGATGCCGAGGGCAGGCAATTGGACTGGCTCCATGTCTGTCTCCACGTCAGAGCCCAGGAGTCTGGTGGTCCGGGTGGAAGGAGAGGGGATGTGGGTGTGCTGATGACAGGTACAGAGAGCTTTGCTCTAAAAGGCAGAGGAAAATTAATTTCCTGTAAACTGAGGACCCTTGATCAACCAAGCCACTCACTATTCTGGGCTTCAGTTTCCCGTGTTGGGACAGGGAGGATGTGGACACTGAAATTGTCCTTGGTGGGCCTGGTGCTCACAGAGGTGGCTGTCTTTCCAGGTGTTAAAGGAAGTTGACGGTGAGGTGCGCTGGGGAGCATGGGGGTGTGAGAATGGGCAGATCCGTGTGCTCCAGGCTTGTGAATGTGCTTACGTGGGTGTGTCCTACACACAAACACGCTCACTGACTGAAAGTCCACAGTGGGCTGAGCACAGGGACAGGTGGTAAAAGGGAAACATAGACAGGTGAGCTCTTCCCTCGAGGAATTTATAGTCTCGTGATGGAAGTGGGGCCCATACAAGTAAAAATGATTGAGCAACACCAGAGATAAAAACAGGTGACTAAGGAAGTGCAACAGAATGTTATGTGAGCGTCTCAGAGGAGTAAGAGCGGGCAGGGAGGGTCAGCTGAGAGGAGACAGGCCGAGATAATGCCAACTCCAAATTTGGGGAGGTGACCTGTGGCCTTTGGGCACATGTCAGTGAAACTGGACTGCTCTTGTCAGAGGCACCCATTCGGGCTCCATGAGCTTCAGCGCTCTCCTCTATTGGGAATGTGGTCGAGCCTGAGCTACGTGAATATCCCCTCCTCTCTCTGCGAGCTACCCTGGGTGACACACACATCCATGTGGCTCACTTCTGTGCCCACGGCCCCTACAATGGTGCCTCGAACATGCGGCTCCTAGCATTGTTGGGATGAATGTGGAGGCATTTTCGAATCAAGCAAAGCATGGTGGGGGAAACGGCGCGCACAGGAAGGAGCTGTGTACAGGCCGGAGGCGGGAGGCGGGAAGGTAGGGTGTCATAAACCAGAAGCAAGATCATTCCGAATCCCCTTCCAGGGCCCTTGCTGTTGTCCCGGCAGCCCAGTCTCTGATGGAAGGCCTCCTCTGAGCAGTGTGTGGGGTGGCTGGCTGAGTCAAGCCTGATCCCCGCTCCCTGCATCTGTCTAGCAGAACTTGGACAAGGGGAGAGTGTGGGAAGCTGGGAGCATATCTGCTCAGGGTCACTCAGTGGGGACCAACTAGTCCAACCCCTTATGCTGATGACGTAGAAATTGAGGCCCAGGTGGCTTGTTCAAGGTCACACGGGAGTGTGGGTGTCAACATCTCCCATTTACTGACCCCATGTATGTTGTCCTGGAGTCGCAGAACAAAGAGGAATCCTGGAGAGGGTTTCAGCCTCTGGATCTGAGCAATAACCCCCCCCCCCCCCGCCTCCCCGCCCCCAGCCATACAAGTTCAACTAGAGTAATCTCACACTCCCTTCTCTTCTAAACCTGCTATTCATACCTAAATCCCAGGGAGGGAGCGGCCCAACAGGAGACAAGTTATGGAAGACAAGTTACCTGGGTCCTGCAGACAGACCTTTCCCCTCCAATGTCTAGAAGCTGTTCCCGCCTGCTCCTCCAGGGGACACAGTGGCTGGTTATACCACTCATGCCCCAGGACACACGGCTCCTTCCACAGATACCTTCCCAGACCCAGGCGAGCCCCAGGGCCCATGCCCATTGGCAGAGCTTCATGTCCTGGCCTCTCAGGGGCTGGTCCAGCCTGTGCAGGTACTTCAGAGAGCGCCAGGCCTGTGGGGTCCCCACGTCATGCAAGGGCTGCTCCTGCTTTTGCAGTCACCTCTGGTCCCTCCATGCCAGACATCTGCATGCCCGGGAGCCTCCTGTTCTCTTCCTCTGGCCAGCTGTGCCCACCAGTCCAGCGTAGTCAGCTCTGGGGAGTGCTTTTGTGTGTTTCTTCTCCCATGGGCATTATCTCGTGCTCTCCACGGTACCCATCCAAGTCACACCCCTGCCTAGCTTTTGAGAACCTCCACAACCTTCCTCCATTTTCTCCTTTCATCACCACCCTGGCCCCTCGCAAAGGGTTCTTCTTATCACTTTTTTATTTTTATTTTCACATCTTTGCAGCTGCAGGGTTCCCAGCCCAGAACTCCCTCCCCTCTCTCCCTCACTCAGGGATTCAAATCTTCTTCTTTTCCAGTGCCCAGCTCAGGCCCCATCTGATCCTCAGAGCCTCAAGGCCACACAGATTTGTAGATCACCTAGATCCGACCCCTCATTTTCTAGATGAGGAAACTGAGGCTCAGAGAGGTTAGTTGACTTGCTCAAAAGTCAAATCACTAGCTAGAGACTGGAATCCAGATTTCCTCCCCCGGGGTGAGATACTTCTGCACCCTTCCTGGCTGAAGAGGGCATGTGTCCTGGAGAAAAGGGATCCTAGGAAGGGACAGGCCAATGCCTAAGTCGACACCAACCGCCACACACACACAATTAACTGCTTAATTGTAGGCTGCTCTACATTGTTATGTGTTTCCAAAGTTGATTGTCAGCCCCTTGAAGTCAGGGAATGCTCGCAGTGCCATCTTGTCCTCTCCAGGCCTCTGGCACAGCGCTGGACCGTGGAAGGCATCACACGGTGGGGCTTTATTTGGGAGGATAATCTTCCCGCCTCCATATCTGGCAGCAAACGAAACAGCAGGGAAGCCAAAGGTACGCTGCCCTGATGCAAGTCCAGTTCTAAGTGCTCATGTAGATGAAAGGTGGGTGGCGGCAAGGTGCACAAGAAACCCTGGTTTTGGCAAAGATCCAAAAGGACTAATCATGGGTTTCAGGCCTGATAGGTTCCCGGCATCCTTGCCTGCTTCCTTTCAGAGGAAGGGCACACGGGCTGCTGTGCATTCTGGAGGGTGGGCTGGGATCAAGCCTCAGGACCCAGCCACGGCAGGGGTGGGAGAGTGTTTGGCACACACCCTTCCTCCTCTGCCCTCTTCACTGCTCCTCCTGGCATTGCCTAATGCTCTCTCCTGCCCCCTCTGTCCTGCCTGCAGAAAGCACTTGATCCAAGGGAGGCTCCTTCAGGGGACTGTCTGAGCCTCATCCGGCCCAGGGCACCACACTGGGACCCTGAGCGCTAACGTAGGACTCATAGGCACTGCCTTCCTTCATGAGACTCCCTTGTGTGGGGGAACAAAGTGAGCTCAGGTGCTAATTCCCAGCCCCAGGAATCAGGTGGAAGGGACTTCATGGCGTCATAGGTGAGACAGGGGTCCAGGAACATGGAGAAATTGAGCTTGGCCTGAGAAAGATGCGTTTCTTTCTTTGTATCCAAACTTCAAAGCGTGTCTTTGGGAAAGCTCTTGAAACAGATCTACAGATCGGCGAGGTGCTGAGGGCACCTGAGGAGGGTTCACCAGTGGAAAGGTTGCACCGGCTCGGCTTCCAGGGTGGCTGGAGCCTTCTGGGATTGGTGGCCTCCGCTTAGCACATCTCAGCGAAGGGCTCCATCGCTCAATCAGGGCCTTTCTGGGCTGTCTCCTCTCCTCTGGGGCCTCGGGCAGCAGGTTTGTAACAATGTCATGCTGGCTTCCCAGTGGGTGGAGGTTGCTCAGGGTCACTGGGTGAGAGGAAATGGCTGACGACGCCCACTCACCCTCCTGCCAGCCTGGGGGATGTGCTCTTTGTACTCTCAACTTGGCATTTGTGTGTTCCACATTATCTGCCCTTCCCTAAAATGAGGGCGGTGGTAGATGAACAGGAATTGTTTTATTTCCCATTCTCCTGAAGAGAAATGTAAGGCCCGGAGAGGGGCTGTGGCTCACACAGGGTCCGGGGAGTCACCTGTGGCCCTGTAGTGGCCAGGTGGCCATGGCTCTTCCTATCCTCTGCTCTGGAGGAGGGGGGGGGGGGGGCTGGGCAGGCTGGGTTAGCCATTAGGAAGCTACGGGGTGTGTGTGGGGGGTTCCCTTCAGAATGCCAGGAGGGCTGCTCAGGAAGCTGGTGGAGGGGGCCATCTTTGCCCCACCACTGAGATGGCACCAGGCAGACAGAGCAATTAAAGGCCAATGAAGACAGACCGGCAGGGTGGCATTCCAGGGCCCTCTTGCCCAGATCAGACTCAATTATAAGGTACAATTACCTTCGAAGTGTTGTGGGGTAGCTGCCTGCACATGCCATTCAAGGCTGCGGGGGAGATGCTTCTCTCCTGGGCTCCAGTTACTCCCCTTGGGACCCTACCTAATAGACTCCCCTTACCCCCTCCCTCCCCTCACCCCCCGCTGCCATCAGCTAAAGCCACCATCTTGGTCTATGGGACTTATTTCTGTGGAGAGACTATGTCTGACACCAGTATTTCCTTTAGGACACTTATTCCAGTTCACTCCCAAGAAACACCACCCTTTGACCTTAGCCCTCAAGGTTCATGGGTAGAGGTCAAGGTCCCGACTTCCCCATTAATGGAGTATCTGATCTATCCCAGAATTCACTCTGACCTTGAAGGATGGGGAGGCCTTACCTAGGCCTGCGCTTTCTTCTGGAAGCAGAGAGATGGCCTTTCCGTTCTGGAGATAGACGGAGAACTGGTAGCGATGGAAGCCACTTTGGGGTGGTGGGGTAGGAGGCTGGTAGGCTATGGGCAGAGAAGGGAGAGAGGGTGGGTCCACATGCCACAGGACCCAGGAGCTCCTAGATGCTCTGGGCACGAGGAAAAGAGGATCATTTGTGCCTTTCCTTGTCCCAGCCGACCCTCCTGGGGTCCCAGATGGGGGCTTACCCATTGCGCGCCATTAGATTTGTCTTTGTCAGGATCTCCTCCTCAGAAGCTTCATTTAGGAAGCACATTTTTGGGGATGTGGGCGGGGGAGGAAGAGGTGTGGTCTGTTTGAAGATTTCGGGTGCTGGTGGGCACCTGGGCCTTTCTGGGCCAGTGGGTATTGTCTTTCTTTTCTTTTCTTTTCTTTTCTTTTTCTTTCTTTCTCTTTTTTTTTTTTGCTTTAGTCTACCCTGATAGATTTCCTGCCTCAAGAGAAACCCATCTTCCTCTGAGTATATTTGGCAGTGGATTTTTATTTACTTTTTCAGCATTTCCTTATGAACTCAATCCCCAAAGAAGTCAATTTCTTGGCTGGATCCGGAGGATCTGGAAGTGGTTATGGGGGTGGGTGGGACTCGGTTCAAAGGTTTGATCATGGAAGCTGTGGGACCTGGGTGCTTGGGGCAATGGGAACCAACTCAGGCTCTTCCGGGGGAGAAGGCCATCTCCCTCCCTTTCGCCCCCTGCGCAGGAGGCAGATCTTTTCTGGGAGAAAAGCAGAGGGAGGGGACATCTTTCATCCTTCCCCCAAGACTATTCAGGCTGGACTGGGCTGCTCCAGCAGGGCCTCCTTCCAAGCATGCTGCGCCTCTTCCTCCTCCCCTCACTCCCTTCATCTCCCTCTCCTAGGAGCAGAGAATTTTCCTAGGGGTGGGTGGGGAGGGGGTGTTAGCAATGAAGATGCTGGTGGGAGGGAGTATTGGTACTTTGTGGCCACCTCCCTCTCCTGATCTAATGATCAGGAGCCACTTGCTGCTTGGAGCTGTCGGGGTGTTCCTCATGGTGCACTTCCGGCCATGGGCCTTCAGCTTGTGCACAGCCAGGGGATTTCCTGACTATTCATCTCTCCCTGAGTTTTTGGATTGCATCAGATGTGTGTGTGTGTGTGTGTGTGTGTGTGTGTGTGTGTGTGTTCAGGGTGAGAACAGCACAGGGTGTCCCAGAAGCCACGAGGGTTTGTATATGTGGGGTCTACACTGGGGCAGGGGCAGGTGTTGGAGGAGCCAGGGTGCAAGTGTGCTGAGGCTGTTTTGGAGGGTGTCTGCCGGTGTGCGCAAATGTGAGCAAGTCAGTTTTTCCCCCACAAACATGGCCAGTGCTGAGGGACTTCTGAGCATAGGTGAGGGCCGCAATGCCTTTTTGCGTGCGTGGTGTGTGGAGGCCAGAGGTGGCTGGGCCAGCTTTTGGCAAGGAAGGTGGGTGTGAGGGTGGCCGAGTGAACTTGAGGGTGGGTATATCCCATGCTGCCAGAGACTGGTGGCCATGATTCCCTGTGGGTAAGGCTGGAGCTGTAACTCGCAGATTCTATTTAGCTGGGAATTAGCCTCAGGGGAGATGGATACGGAATCCCTTCACTAGGGAGCTTTCCTGAAGAACTCCCTCCGAAAGGAGAGGTGAAAGCAGAGATGAGACCCGCGAGAAGGAAGGGAGGGCACACAGGTTCGGCCACTTCTCGGGAGCAGGCCCTGGCCAAGTGCCTCCCCTGTGACATCTCTTTAATCCTCCCAACAACTTGAAAGGGTGGGTGTTTTTGCCACTTTCTGGGTGAGGTAACTGAGGCTGTGAGCAGTGAAGCCAGGCCGACAGTAAGTGGTGGAGCTGGGGTTTGAATCTAGGCCTTCCTCGTGCCTGAGCTGAGTTGGTTTCCAAAACTATGCAGCTCCTCTGGTCGTTTTGCTCAGCCCTTTGCCAGAGGCCAGCTTACCCCCTGGGCATTCCCTGTAAGTCAGTGGAGGGCCTGCTCTTGCAGCCAGGATCTGAGAGGGAGGGGAGCTGGTGGTGAGGATGGGGTGAGAAGAGGAGAGCATCAGAGAAGAGGGAAGTCCATGCAGCCACGTGCAGCCACGTGCAACCACGTGGTGGGACTGGGAGCAGGAAAGAAGAGAGATGGGTGGAAGGAAGAGAATGCCCCACCCGCCCCTCCCCAGGAGAGACGTCTGGGTGCTCTCCTGCAGACCCCAGGCTGGCTCCTCACACCAGCTGTGGGACACAGGGCAGGTGGGTCTGTGCCTCAGTGTCATTCTCTTTAAAATGGAGATATTGATGGCAGCGACTTGAAAAGGAAATTGTGAAGATTAAATCAGAGCATACACACAGACTCTTGGATCAGTGCTTTCTTTGTACTCTGTGAAGCATCAACATGAAGTTGTATTGTTATCTGGCCATCATCATCGTTGCCCTGGCTGGGGGAGGGGCGTTGTAGGGTCTTACTCACGTGATAACTCCTGGCCCTTTATCTCCCCTTTCTTCATGTCAGCGCCCTGAAACAAGAGACAGGCATGGGCATGGGTTACTCCTGGGGCAGCAGAAGGCCTTGCCACCCCCCTCAGTCCAAGTGGGCTCTGCTGAGCTCTTTCTCTCGGGGAGTGGGATGGAGGAGGATGAAGATCCATGGCTGTTTCTGGGAGACGTTGCCAGAATGAGCCGTGGGATTTAGAATGGTGCCTCTGGGGAACTGGGAAGAGGGGGCAGACAGACATACTGAGGATGGCCTGGTTGTGAGGGGTGGACCCCTGATTTCTGGACAGACCCCTGATCTCTGGAGAGACTTTCTGATGGGCTGCCCCACTCTTGCCGTCTGCGCCCCCAGACTAGACACAGGACACACTCTCAGCTTGTGCGGTCTGGCCAGATCTGAGGCGGGGGCTGACAGTCCTTAGAGGCTTGCTAAGCCAGGCCATCCTTCGGGCTGGCTTTGGGCCTCAGAACATGAGGCCAGTGACTGCTTGAACAACCAGGAAGGGGAGGAGGCCTGACTCCGGGGCAGCCTCTTCCCTAGCCTCTGCCGAACTCAGCCCGCACTCTCCGGGAAGAGTCTTTGGCTGCTGGGACAGCCTCAGTTTCCCTCCTTTCTTTCCTTTCCCTCCCTTCTCCCCTCCTCTCAAGGTCTGTGGGATAATGAGGTGATCCCGGGGGCGGGTGCTAATTAATGTTTGTGCAGGACTGGGAGATGCTCAGATGAAAGGGACTGGAGCCGGGCTCCTGGGTCCGTGCCACAGCTCGGGGCCCGGGGCCATGCCAGGGAGCCCTGCGGCCCCGAGGTGTGGGGTTTTATAGCCTTAATGATGGTGATTAGCGAGGCTCTTCATGGATTCTGCCAACACCTAACTGTGCCCTGGACACCTTTCCACCAGGCCCTTCCTGGTACAGCCCCTGTTCCTCCCCGGGTGGTGGTAGGAGTTGGGGAAGGGGGTGCTCAGGGTGGTGGTGGTGGGGATGGGGAAGAGCAGTAGAGGGTGCCGAGGGGGAGTGTGAGATTTCCCCTCAGTTCTCTGTGGAAAACCTCAGGGTCAGCTCAGTGACCCAACCCCTAGTGCGGTTTACTTTCTACAAAATTGAGGCCCCACCCCCTATTCTAGAGACCCCCATCTCCTCTCCTTTAGGCTGCAGCTTGCCCACCAACTGTTCTCACTTTGGACCTCCTTTGGGCTGGGTTTCCTTTGGCTGGGGAAAGGGCAGGAGACCATAGCCGGATGGACCCCTCCACCTGTGGCCCTTTCCCACTTTGCTATCGTCACCCCATGCAGGTGAGATCTCTTTCCTTAGGCATCCTTCCACCTCCCTCACCCAAGTCCTGTCTGCCAGGTGCATCCAGGCAGCCTTCACATTCCGTCCCTCAGCACAGCTCAGCATGCTCTGCCCCTGCCTTGGCCCTCTCAGCTCAGCTCCCCAACTCCCCCAATATTGGGTCTTGCTTTATCCATGAGGCCCAGGTGTGGCCAGGGCACTGGGATGGAGGGATAGGGTTGGGGAATGGAGGCTCCTCGATACCCATCTCTCCTAGGAAAGCAGCTCAGGCCCAAGGCCTAGCGGCCACTCTCCCAAAATAGCTCTCTGGCCGGCCTAGCAAGATCGAGAGAAAGGGGCTGAGCCCAGGGAAGCCCGGCTGGCCAGCCCCAGCCCAGCTCTGAGCTCCCAGCCTCCCCCTCATTCCTTTCCAAGTCAGTCCAGCCAGCAGTTTGTTTAAATAAAACAATAGCAACCCAAGCTGGCTGTTTCTCTTCAATTCCCCACAGGCCTGGGTCCCACCCAGAGTAATAAACAGGCCCCTCTCCTCTGTGTGGTGCGGAGGGCGGGGGTGGGGGCTGGGTCGTAAGGGCAGGGAGTTAGTGTGCAGAGCAGTGTGGAAAGTCTGATCTGCAGCCGTGGTCAGGGTGGGAAGGCTCTCCTCCCCTCCCTTTCCCTCTGGGGAGTCTTTTCTCATCAGCTGAGGCCAGCTCGTCAGACACACACAAACCCTGGGACTTGCTGTGTAAAGCCAGCGGCCCTTCCTGCCGCCTTCACTGGGCCTGCTGACCTAAGCTCAGCCCAGGCAGCTGCAGGGGGTGGGGGTGGCGGAGGGGGGCTGAGCAGAGCGTGTCAATGGCCTTCAGAGGCTTTTCTGGTCTCTCTGGAGCTTGTCATATGGAAGGGGGAGCGGGGAAGGAAGGCTCTGAGGAAGGACGGAGTGTGTGGTCAGTGAGGCTGGTATTTGCTCTAGTTGGTTTGAGCATCAGCTAAGCTTCCTTCCCTCATTGGTCTGTTCTGGGGCCTAAAATATCTACCATAGAATCAACACTTGGGAGGAGCCTGAGGAAATCAAATTCAAAGGGTGAGAAAGTTGAGCCCCAAAGAGGTCCAACGACTCATCCAAAGCTGCAGGGGCAAATGGGAGAATCCCAGAATGTTCTAGGAAGAAGGAGCCTTCGACCCTCTGACCTTTGAGACCCACTGGCTCAGGGTCTCATGCCTTTTGACCTGCAGCTCTGGCTTGTGCTTTTGTGGTTGCTGTTTTTTAGTTTGCATCCTTTTGTGTGCGTGCGTGCGTGCGTGCATGCGTGTATGCTTTCTCTATGCCATCATGACAATCCCATCACTTCCCTAGGAGGCTTTAAAAAACCCCATCATTAAAATACACAGATATCACCAGGAAGGCTGGGGCTATGGTGGAAATGGTTGCCCCTGTGCCTCTATGAAACATGAGCTCTCTTCAAGCATCTTCGTGGATGGCAAGATCACTTTAGCCTGAGATCACCTCTGAAAGCTGGACATCTCCGGGGATGGAAGGAATGCAGGGGTGTTTCCAGAGGGCAGAGGGAGAAACCCATTCTTCTGAGTACTTCTCAAGGAGGCTGGACTGAGGGAAGAGCCCTGAGAGCTGAAGATGGGCCCAGCATTTGAGGGACAGACCCCAAACCTGTTAAGTCTGAGCAGAGAGGAGCTTTGGAATGAGAGTCTGCAGGATGGGAGGGGCTGCTGAGAGCTCATCCTGCTGCCTGACCTGCATCCCCACCCCCAGGTATGCTGCTGCTCTGTAAGGTGGGCCCGGGGCAGACAAATCCACCTACAACAGGTGGACATTTTCAAAAGCAACTTGTCTAAATGGTAAGGTTTAAAAAAGGAAGTGATTACAGAAATTGTAGAAATAGCTTTCTTTAAAAAATATTTCTATTTATTTCAGAGAGGAAGGGAGAAGGAGAGGGAGAGGGAAACATCAATGATGAGAGAGAGTCATTGATCGGCTGCCTCCCTGCATACCCCCTACTGGGGATCGAACCCACAACCAGGGAATCAGACTCGAACAGTAACCTCTCGGTTCATAGGTTGACACTCAACCACTGAGCCACACTGGCCTGGGGAAATAGTCAGCTCTCTGGTCCTCAAGAGCACTGAGATGCCCAGGATGGTTTTGCAGGCTATCAGGACAGGTGCACTTCAGGTGTTTGGGCTCGGGAGTTGTCCTGGGCCCTCCTAAGTGTCAGGGATGGAGGAGCTGGAGAAGGCAACTTCTTTCCTTATCATGAGATTTCCTCTCCAGCTCTCTGAGGCCTCAGAACCCATGGCTTCTCTGTCAAGATGGTTGGGAACTGGCATGTGAGATGCTTAAGAAAAGTTGGGGATCAACCGGTAGTCATAGCAACTCCATTCTTGGACCAAGGTGACACAGGTGGTCTTGTCTTGACTGACTTGTCTCAGGCCAAGTACAGAGCACAGGGCTGGAAGCTGGGCACCTGCCCCATCACTATTACCTTACATTGGTAATGAGCTTATAGTGTCTATCCCGCAGGGTACTGGCAAACCGCTGGCTCTCACAGCCGTCCTTGCATGGGAAGGGCAGAGATCGGTCTCCCCATTTGACTGAAAGAACCAGAGAAGCTTCTCAAGGGCAGGGGCTGCATCCTGCCCATCTTTGTAGCCTGTAGGATGCTGTGCACGTAGTTGGGTAGTAGGCAATTATTGATGCCCTGGCCCGTCCCCTGACCCTTGCCCTGGCAGTGCTTACCAGCTCCACTTGCAACCTGCTTATCCTGGCCGCCAGAGCCCTCTCCACCGCCTGTGCAATGGGGCAGCCTGCTGTGGTCTTAACAGCCCCTGGCAACAACCAATGGTTGGTGGGAAAGGCAGGAGGGAGGGGCTTCTAAGAATAAATACTTCAGCCCCTTGCCGTTGGTGGGGAATGACAGAGCAGTGTATTTCGCATTGGCTCCAGGTACCCACCGTGGAACTTGTTTGCTCATGAACCTTGACTGGGTGCCTTCCTTTTCCTGTCTTACCCTGTTACTGCTCTTCCCTTGTGTCCCCTTGAAAATAAACTACTTGCACTAGAATCCTGGTGTCAGGATCTGCTTCTGGGGGAGCCCAAGGTAAGACAGAAAGGGTCCCCATAGACAGTTAGGGGGTGAATAGAGTGAAGCCTTTGTCCAAGGTGCCATGGGTAGCTAGCTTCAATGCCAGGATGAGAAGTCTGAACTCCTGACCCTCTGCCCCAGTCTCTTTAGCAAGACCCAACTGCTGCCGCCCACACCTGGATCCTTCTGTCCTCCAGGCCCAGGCCCCAGAGCTCCCTGAGAGGATTGGTCCCTGATATATTAAGCCCTTGGAGAATTACAAACAGATAAGCCAACTAGATAGAAGTCACTTCTATTTCTTGTTTCTTGTCCCTATGGGGCTAGCCAGACAGCTACATTTTCTGAGAATTGAGTGTCCAGAGATACCCCCCACTCTCCAGGCCTGGGGCTGCTTTAGGTAAGGGCTCTTTGAGACATGGTGGCCGGATTTGTGAGGTCTGGTGGATGGGGAAGGGGCCTGGCTCAGCGCAGGGCCCAGCAGGAAGGTCGGCCCAGTTTCCTCATTTCACTTCAATTACCTACAGGCAGCTGGCCGCCCACCTGGGTGCTGGCGAAGGCCCCAGGTACTTGGGCTTGCTGACCCCCGAAGCGGAGGGTCAGCTGCCCATTTCCTTGAGTTTGAGGGAGATGATTTAATCTCTTTACCCACCTCT